TTTCACAAACCATGTCATAATTTTAAACCAATGAAATTAAAACAAATAAGCAATGTTAATAAAAGTATTTGCCTTTTAATAGGAAGGAGACTAGGTTAGAGTTTGGTGCTTTGCAATGATAAATAATATTTGTAGAATATTTTATTTAGAATTAAAATAATGATATATGCGGAGTGAAATCTTTATAGTGAAAGTTAGTATGATTTTAGTTAAAATAATCAATTGTAGTTGGAAGTTTTGTTTGTCAAATCTCAACTATGGCCAAAATTATTATAATAAATTCGAGATCCGTTTGTATATATATATTCGAATTTGCGATTACTTTTGTATAAGAATGTGTTTCACCAAAAGATAAAAAAAAAATATAAATTGAACTAAATCAAAATTGAATAATTCAAACTTGAAAATATATACTCCTTCTGTATTACAATACATGATGTTTTTGAGAATTTTTTTGTATCAAATTAGTTGATATTCTCATTTTTCTATGCAAAAAATTAATACTTTTTAGCTTTTGTGACTTTTTAAATTTTGTAATATTTTATGTGATTAGTTGAATTAATATTGTTTAAATAATAATTAGGTTTTTAATATAGAAATACACAAAAATTACATTATTTATTGAGTTTCTTAATTGTTGTGCCATTACTTTAAACATCATGTATTGTGAGAGAGTATCTTATATTTTTTAGGGAATCGTAGTGAATATTGATGAAGACATACAAGTTAGAGACATGTGCCAAAGATGTCTTCTATATGTTGTACTTTTATGAAAGGTCTATTTCTTTTTTCATATAACATTGTATATGTCCAATAATTTGTTACAAGTGTTTAATCTTCTAATCTAGGTAATTATTTACTATAAACATCAAATTTATGTAATATTAAATACACAATTTGTCAATAAGTTAGAAATTTATGCATATTATACAATATTTATTTTTAGACATATATAATGCGTGAGCAATCCCTAGTATAATAGTATGTATAGATACATAATTATTATACTAAATTACTACAACCTCATTCGAATTATATGAAACCAAATCGAAATAATTGAACTAATCTAAAATTACTTAAAAAATATTAATTTGTTGATATATTTTGGAGGAAGTTTGTAAACATAATCTTAAATTTTATTTTGTTTTGAAAACTAACCCTTCTTTCAAAATCTTTGAAAAATAACTTTTTCATACTTAAAATTACGAAAAAATCCAAATCAAAATCCACCTTATATTTTTTATAAGAAAAAGCAAGAATAAATATCACATCATTTTTTAATTAAAAATAAAATATAAATCATCATTTTAGTTGTCGTTAAAAAAGGAACATGAATTTTGGTTCTTCCTATAATTAAGCTATCTCTAAGATTTTACTGCATTATCTAACAAAAAATCTAAATTCTGAAACTAAAACATTCGAGTTTAAGATTTGAATAGAGAAGAATAGCTAGTCTGTTTCTTTCATTTATGAAATTCAAATATGAGTTTTTTTTCCTTCTTAAAAATAGTACAATTGTTTGGGATTTATGGAGATTGGGTGATGCAGAAAAGATTATGGAATTTTGTGATTAAGCACACCAAATGAAGTAAATTATTTCAAATCATAGATGATATGAAATTGGATGAATTGGTTCAATTATGGCATAGATGGTTTGGTTGATGATATAGAGTTTAGTTACATGTTGTCTAAGACGATGTTAGTGCATATGCCATAAGATATTTCTCCTATGATCATTGATAATGATCGAGAATTAGAGAGTTTTGTAAAAAATTTGGAATATTAAACCAATCCTCCCAAAAAATAAGTTGAGATTAGTTTCGAAAATGGTTTTTTTTTAATATTAAATGTTCAAAAATTTATCATTATATTTTTGTTTTTTTATTCAATAAAAAAGTTAGTTTTTAAAATTTTCAAAACAAGGGTTAGTTTTCAAATTTTGTAAAATTTTTGGAATATTAAACTAATCCTCCCTATATTTTTTTCGGTTTTGTTAATTATTACTTAGATGATTTGTTAATCGAAAATAAGTTTGTAATGTTTTTTTAATGTATAGAGGATTATTCTATAATTAAACTTTAATTGAAAAAATAAAAATTAAATCACTATGAAGTGACATGTGGAAAAAGTCTTATGGGTCTTTCATATAACAACCGATTCTTAATCTTTGATCAAAAAAGAAAAGAAAAAAAGACCGTTCTCTTTGTTACGTTTTTTTAAATAATGATTTTAATAGTAAGTTACCATGGAAATATTCCTATGGGAGATGATGCTCTATGGCCAGTTCTAACTGGTTTCTAATAGTATATTAAACATTAAAAATGAAAAAACGAGAAAAGAGATTGAAAACCGTTTTTCAAACAAGAAAATCTCAAAAAATTGTAAAAAATATGATGTTACTTGTATTGTTGTTATTGGCTCAACTTTTTATTTAAATATATATATTTTAATTATATTCAAATTAGGGTCAGTTTGAATGATTGTTGTTAAGGTTGGTTCAACTTTTGATTTATATTCAAATTAGGGTCCATTTGAATGAAGCGTTTACTATTCTGCTTAAATTATTATAATACCAAACGTATTTACTACGTTATACACCTCGTCAATTTTCCCTATGCATCTCGTGACTATATAAACCCTAATGTTAAGCTTTGTGTCGAACCACTTAACCTAAACGAAAAAAAAAAACCAAGTAGAAAAATGGCTAAGTCATGCAC